AAAAAAGACGGCAATTCTCAAGTGGTGGCTCACACAACAACCCCAGAGCCACCACCTGAGCCAGGTGAACAAGGTATGTACCTGTCAGTAAACTTACAAGTTATGCGAACATGTAAGCAAAGCATAAATTATAGCTACGTTGACGTTACTTTGAATCGCGCGGGTAAGCTAAACCGTTAGCAAGTAGCTATAGCTAGCCAGATATATTAAATAAACACTTTGTCATACAATCTAAATGTTGTGTTTTTTAGCGTTACTTGGTGATTTCAAAGAAAGCTCTCTGGGAAATGTTGACTTACTGTCTGTGTTCGACATGAAGCTAGAAGCTACCTTACAGTACACAGTTGATCCTGATTCCTGAGTCCTGTCGTGTTTCATAGTTAGCTTAGCTAAGCATCAACCTAGCACTGAAATATATGGATGTTATGTGACAGTATTTCTGAGAAAAAGTCAGCTGAAATGGTGGCATAGTTGCCACTGCTTTACGTGTCGACAGCATGTTTGAACGTATTTGCAGCAGTAAATGTGGCTGTTTGGCCACTGACGTTGCCATAACAACACCTGCATTTAAATGTGCAACCTCTTTTTGTGACAGATTTTGCATGAAAATATAATTCTTCTGATTGATATTTCCTATTGACAGCTAGTTTCTATGTGAACATTATGAGATGGACAGCCAGCTAACAAGCTTTTTATACAAATATTTCAGATCAAAGCCAATCCAGTGGGGCTCCTGAAAGGGAGCAAGGGACACTATGCTCCCAAATATTAAGCCTTGACCCCCATCTTAAAATTGATATGATCAAAAAATGATCTGCATTGTCGGAGGCCTTTTTTCCTCATTATCATGTCAAATTGTACAGCTTTCCTTAGTGTTGAATGCAGAAAGATGACTATATTAGAGTATTAAGTGAAAATGACTATATTAAAGTTTTAAGTAAATATATTAAGTGAATTACTCAAACTGCATTTTGTATAGGAATGATTCTGTCCTATTGGCAGATAACTACTCTTACAGTGATATCTACAAGAGACGTCAATTTAACTATTTTCAATTGGTTAGTATTACATTTTGTGACAGTGTGGTGACACTCATTTTAATGAAGACAAATGTGTGTATCTTGAAATTCATTTATTTGACAGAGCTGGAAACTGATTGACTTACATACTTGTTTGTGTTTACCTACACAGTCATCACAGATGAGCCAAACAGAGTAGAGGATGAAGAAAAGGAGAACGGGAGAAAGGGACACACAAGAAGGAGATACAAAAGACAAGAACGACAATGGAGACAACAATGAACAGGAACACCAGAACAGACAAGAGTCAATGAGTAACATGACTGATTTAGGGACTGCAGATACAGGGCCAAGGCAAGTGAGACACCACTGCTTTCCATCCAGCATGTTTGGCCAGCAAAAGAGATCATTTCAACCGCAAACAGCAAGAGATGAGGGATTATTATTTCCTCCTTCCATCCCTTTTTTCTGTTTAATCTGATTACTAACAACTTCTAATAAATTGACATAGTTTATGATTTAATTGGAAAATGAAGTGTTTTTAAATAATAAACCCGTTTCTGATTCTGAGATTTATTTTTGACATATGGGTGTTGAGAGATGTATCCATATCTCTTAATGTTGCTCTCAAAGTGCACAAGATTGATGCTTTTAACTTCAGTATTTAAAAAAAATCTTCCTGGGGGACCCCAGAGGAGGTGAGTTCCCCCCAAAATAGCACTTTGTCTGTGCTTATGTAACTCCGGTGTACTGTCCCCTCGGCAACAGATCACTCAGAGCTGGTGATTACTTTCCTGCATTTCAATGGACAGCATATAAAAAGGACACGTGAGCTGCATTGCTTAAGAGATCCTCACATGCTATCTCTTTTACAAAATAAGTGTCCAGTCAACAACACATTTCAGTTATCGTATAGTGGTAGTATATTTTTCACAAGCAATGTGAAACATTAAACTTATACAAACTGGTGTACAAAACTCACATACCTGCGTTGATCTCCTGGAGTGTCTCTACTCTTTCTTCTCCACATCTCTTGTCCACCATCAGAGATTGCAAACATTTCAGAAACAGCTAGAGGTAGGGGACAAACAACTTGTTCGCTGGGCATGTCAAAAACCTCCTGCTTTGATCAAGACTTTAGGGAGCCTTTAGCCCCTCTAGCAAAGGGACTGGAAAGCAAGCTTTGAAAATGCAGTACCATCTACATGCTTGTCATGTTCCAGACACTGCTCTCAACCACTCAGGGCCTGCTTGAATACCTGCAGAAAGAAACAATTGACTTGGTGCAGGCAGTAGATTACAAAACAGCAGTTGAGAACACACTGAAAAGTTACCAAAGTAACGAGAAAGCACATGAGGTCTATGACAAGACCAAGGCCCTGTGCAATGATCTTGATATTCCCGAAACTGTGACACAGAGGAAGAAGCGTAGAAACATGGAAGACTTTGTAGTCGAGGCATCATGTGGAGCAATGTGAAACATTAAACATAAATAAACTGGTGTACAAAACTCACATACCTGCATTTCAATGGACAGCATCAAAGGACTCGTGAGCTGGGTTCTGGTGCTCAGATTAGCTATTGATGATCACATTGATAAATCATATAAAACAAATAGCCAATCACACTAAAAACATGTTGCTGTGACTGTGAGCATTAAACAATTAACATTAAACTAAACAAACACAACAGAACGTTATTGTCCTTATAAAATAAAAACATACATTTTGTCCACCGAGATAATACAGGCACCTTACCCTCAAGAGATCCTCACGTGCTATGAGAGTCTCCCACACTCCATTGCCGTAACAAAGCTTTTTGTTTGTGACACCAGATGGCGCAATTGTGTATGTGCGTGTGGGGAGTCTTGCAGTAGAAAATTTGACTGTAGCGCCGCCACTGTGGGCTAAGCCCCGAATGTTTCCAGGTCCAGGCGACGCCCCTGCTCGAGTCCCCACTTTTCGAGTCCGAGTCACCTAGGGAGAGTCGGAGTCGAGTCCGAGTCACAGTCAATACGGATTTAGATCAAACAGATCAACATCACTGGCAATTATGGAATCAATTGAGGATATCACAGATGCCCTTGAACACAACAAATATGCAGTAGGGATTTGTATAGATATTAAAAAAGCTTTTGACACAATCAACCATGACATCCTAGTATATAAATTAGAAAGGTATGGTATCAGGGGTATAGTTTTAGACTGGATTAAAAGCTATTTAAGCAATAGACAGCAGTATGTAAAGATGGGAAATGACTGTTCTTCATGTTTGGACATTGCTTGTGGTGTCCCCCAGGGGTCAGTGTTGGGTCCTAAATTGTTTATACTGTACATAAATGACATCTGTAGAGTATCCAATGTACTGAGGCTAGTTTTGTTTGCTGGTGATACAAATATATTCTGTTCTGGGGAGAATTTAGAACAGCTAGTGGAGAACATAGAACATGAAATGCACAAATTAAAAACATGGTTTGACAAAAATAAACTATCATTACATTTGAGTAAAACAAAATGAATGCTGTTCGGTAAACATAGAACAAAAACACAAATACAAATAGATGGGGTTGAAATTGAAAGAGTCCATGAAATTAAATTTCTTGGGGTAATAATAGATGACACAATAAATTGGAAATTACACATAAAACATGCAATCAAAGCTGTAAAGAAGCTTTTCCATACTAAACAAAGTAAAACAAGTTCTAGATCAGAAATCACTTTGCATTCTCTACTGTTCACTAGTCTTACCATATCTGAATAACTGTGCTGAAATCTGGGGCAATAACTACAAAAGTTATATACATGCAGTATCTCTTCTACAAAAAAAGCCATACGAATCATTCACAATGCCAAATATCTTGATCACACTAACAAATTATTCCTGCCGTCAAAATTGTTCAAATTCACAGACCTGGTAGAATTCCAAACGGCACAAATCATGTTTAAGGCTAATCATAACGTTTTACCAGGAAACATCCAAAAAGTATTCACTCAACGAGTGGGGGGATATAGTTCAAGGAGACCATTTCAATTCGAAATTCATAGGGTCCGTACAACCAGAAGAACTTTCTGTATCTCAGCTTGTGGAGTGAGACTATGGCACAGTGTGAATGTGGAGCTTAAGCGATGTCCGGACATTAACCAGTTCAAGAGGAAATACAGAGAAATTATTTTCTCGAGGTACAGGGATGGGGAAGGTGTTTGACTATGTGTAGGTGTATATGTGTGAGTATGTAAGTGTGTATATGTATGTGTGCATATATGTATATCAGTATATGTATGTGTATGTATAGGTGTATATGTATATATGTCAATCAACAGGTAAAGCAGAATAATAATAATAACAATAATAATGCATACAAATGATAATTATTGCAGATTATAGATTATAAATAAATCATTTAGGGACAAGGGGGTGAGATTAAATAAATTATACTTCTTCTCACTCCTTTTCGAACACTAGATGTGGCACTGTTTATGTTGCTAATGCTGTTGTTGTTGTAAATGTCATTTTTTGTTTCGATTTCGCTTACATGACTATGCACTGCAACGTCCTTAGCTCGAAGGAAAAAAACAAGGAGGCGTAAAAAATATGAAGTTTGGTAAAGTTGGGAAGAAGGCTTAATTTCATTGTCTCTGAAGGACATATTAAAGAAACCTGTCTCCAGATGCCCTGTGATGAGTTTCAACAAATGTTTTTACCTCTGACTAGTCCTCTTATTATAACCCTAACCTATAATAGACGTAGAAGCCCACCCGGTAAAATTATACTGAAACATGTTCAGGATGCTTTGGTTGAAAGGGTACGTGGATGTCTAAGAGTCAGAAGGTTGGTGGTTTGATTCCCAGCTTGGCAAAGTGAATTTTGGAGAGACCTGTTTTAAACGAATGAACGGGTTTGCTTTGCTTCTTTCGTTCGCAGTTAAGATGTAGTGAGTATATATTTGTACGTGCCCGTACGTGCCCGTACATGCCCCGCCTACGTGTGACGTCATCACGTCTGGGAGAGCCGGAAGTAAGAGCCAGCAGAGATCCCAGTTTCTCCATCAACGCTTGAGGTGTGAAGGAACTGCATCCACCAGGGGGATATTTTAATATTCCTCTTAGACTCAGGTCGGATCTACCTTTGTAGACGGTGAGTATTTTAACACTTCAGTTGGAGGATTAAAATCTACCTGTGGAAAAACGTCGCCACGCTCGCGCTGAGTCAGTTAGTCATTCCATGTTAGCTTTAGCCTGCTAGCTAACTAGGACAATTGGAACAGGAAATACCACAGCTAATGTTACCACTACCGCATTTTTTGAAGCTATATAAAGCACATTTTCCGCTGTTCACTTCACGTTTCAATCCTCATGTGTCGACATAATTACTTATGAGGTGTACATCCTGTTTCCAAAGCCTGTTAATCAGCCTGAGGACGCAGACACGCTGAGAAATGTGTCAGAAAACACCAGACGAAATGCTTATTAAACTGCGTTTTTATCATTTAAAGTGGTTTAATTAACATGTAAGGAGATGATAGTGCTTTAATGCATGTGGCTTGACCTACTGTGATTGAAGCTCACTAACATTAAGCTAAGGTAAAGGTATTCAATGACACGGAAACAATGATCATTCATGGGTCTGACTCTTAAGTACACAGAGCCTATACTTAAGTAAAAGTAGAAATACTATGGTTTTAAAATACTGTATTATACATTATAATTAGAAGTCCTCGTTTCACCACTGCACTTAAGTAGAAGTACAGACATAAGCAGCTAAATGAACTTAATGGGCTCGTTTCACTGTATCATAGAACATTACTCCTTTTTCACTTACAAATACATGTCATATAAGATCCGATAAGATTTACTCCATTGATCCCAATTTGGGAATCTTTCACAGGTTTATTGCTGTTGGCAGGATGGTTGTCCTGTATCCGTCAGAGCTGAATGAGTCTGTTTGAGAAGGAGCTGTCTGTCCAGATGCTTGTGTCATTTCTGCTGTGTCATTTAAATATTGTAGTTTTTCATTGTGGAGCAATTTGGAGTATGACATATAAAGTGTGCCTCTGACGTGTAGTGAAGTAGAAGTATATGCATAATGTAATGGAAATACTTATCAATCATTGGTCTAACCTAATTCTCCCTGTTATCCAGACTTTATTTACACTTTAAGGCATTTTTTGCTCCTCCTGCCTGCTCAGATATCTGGGTTATGGGTGTGGTTTTGTTGTGGAAGATCCTCCTGTCTTCACATACTGAACGTTGTTAGGACTCGCAGGCCGCTGCTTCCTGGTCTGGTGACGTTTCCTCTGATCTCTCTCCGGAGGTGAAGCAGCCACGTCTCCTGCAGACTCAGATTGAACACAGATGCTGATTGCCCACATTTAGCTGAGTCAGGAATTGGGATTAGTACAGAAAGCTTTTGTTGCCATGTCACTTGAGATGACTGAGAAACAAACCACACTGTTCATGTAGTTCTGCAGCATCTCAGTTAAAATGCATGGTTAGGGTGACTCACCATGAAAGCAGCTGGTACAGATTCAGCATCAAAGCCGGAGAAACATGGGAAAAAGCGCCTGGAAAGTTGCTGCATATCAAAGGTGCAGTCAGCTGTTGAAATGCAGCTAAATCTGCTGTGTTCTGTGAGCAGACATGACTCTGTAAGTCAGGAGAAAAGGTGGCCCGACTTCAATACAATATACCGTCAACCGGCACAACAAACAAATCACAAAAGTTGCACAGTACTTATACTTTAGTTTGTTAAAAAGAAAATTGCATTTTAATAAACAGTATAATCATTATTTGTATTGGTTCCTTTTTTTGTTAAAGGAATGCTCCACTCATTAGATAATTAATCAAAACTTCAGTATTTAGTGAAACATTATGTTTAAACCATACCCTGAAGAAATCAGCGATATTCCCCGGTAAATAATGATTTTATAGCTCTTTTTTTATCAAAACCTGTATATTCCGTCAGGCCGCTGCCATTTTGCCCATTTTCAGTAGTCACGTGATGGTCGTGACGTCATCCATGCGTTCACTTTGTAAACACACGAAAACATGGCGGAGTATTTGAGTTCGGACTCGTCAGCCGAGGAAGAAGTTTTGAGCAATATGAAGAGATTGGAAGGGGGAATTCAGCCATACAGGTTCGAGCCTACTTAGTACTACTTAGTAGATACAATGATTTTGATTACTAGATATGTATGCATGTAGTACCACCCTTGCTAGCGATTCCCTCTCTAGTTTAGCATACTCAGCCTCGTTGTCCCTGGCCCTAGAACCACGATTTTATGGGGCCGGAAAAACTGGGGGGAAATACCCACTAGCCGGTACTACGCTATATGGAAAGGCCACCAAAAACTGGCCTGGCCTGGACGATAAAGGACGTTTAAACGGGGCTACCCGCTGCAATGGAAATGCGCTATAACATACCTTATTCTTACTCCGAGCACTACTTCTGGTCCTCCGTCGCTTCACACTTACAGAGGGCGATTTCTCAACTGGCCGAACTGGTGTCCTGGTCGGTGATGACACCAGAAAGACCGATGGTACTGCATCTCCATTAAGTAATGGTTGTTCAATAAATCCCATGTTATGTTTTATCATACTCTCAGAGTAGTCGTCCGGAAACTTGAAATGTTCGCTGCATACATGCGCCTGTGGATCTTTCGGTTCGGGCCGGCCACATTTCGCTAGCCACTGCCTCCGAACGTACTTCCTACGCTTACCTTTTGGCAACAGATGGAACCGAGCATTCCGTGGATTGTTCCTATCAGAATTGTGGCAATGTTTCGCGATACAATGAGGCATATTTGAAGAGAGTAACTACAGTAAATAACATGAACATCAACGTGTCCTCGAAACCAAACGCATGGTTTACGTCACGTCCGGTAAAATGGCGCCGCCCACAGTGTTGATGTTATTTCGGTAATTAATCAGTTTAAAATCACTGATAATGTCATCGGATTAAAAAAAAAAAAAAAAGACTGGTAGAGACTGGTCTGTTTTATCGGATGATAATTATTTAAAAATGAGTGTCATGAGCATACCATTCCTTTAAGTTCACTGTTTGATTTGTTCAATTATGGTTGGATCATCCAAAGTTAGTCTTTCTTAAATCCTCACGAGTGATGGTAGTTTCTGATTTGATAAATGACTCATCAAAAACATTTATTTATCTACATTAGACAAATTGAGTCAACTTAAAAAAAGGAAACCTCCAGAGTGTTCAGAAGTACCGACATGGTGCTCTTTGGTTTGAAGAAAAAAGTGAAAAATACATATTTTAATATTGAAAATGAAACAATTCTGTCGACCTGAGCTAACTTAAAATGTAATATTCATAATCAAAACATGCATTTAAGTCTCGGCTGGTCAAATAATCAAATCACAATATACATTTATTGCTGGGGGTACAATGAATTTCTGTTAATCAATTTATATATTGTTTGCATTTTCATATATAGTTAGATAATAAAGGCTTTGACAGGATGGAAGTTGTTGGTCTTGTTGTTTAAGGTGCCTTAAAAGTGCTTCAATAATTTTTTTAAAAAAAAAGCTCCACGACCAATCAGGTCAAAAACAAAGCCAAAAAGGTCCAAGGCACTCCACTTCCAAATGTGAAAAAAAAACATTGAAAATATAATATTGAAATTCTCAAAACATGCTCATTAATGTTGAAATAGAGCTAACAGCCAACGTTAAGCACAAACGGCCATCTCGAAACACGGAGTAATGGATTGAATAAATAGTAAAACGCTGCAGTTAAACTTCGAAACACAACGTCCACTATCTCGCAGCTTTCTTTAGCTTCAGAAAATCGTATCCCTCCGTCCGTATAAAGTATATATTTTCTTGTTTTTCAGTGTGTATAAGATTGAAGATGTGGAGGGCATCAGCAGGACAGTCCGTTAAGGTTGCGCAACAAGACGACGGAGGGGACGACTGGGAGACGGACCCTGACTTTGAGGTAAACAATGCACACTTTATCCTTCCTCCATTTCCTCTTTGAGTCCTCGTCTCGTCTCCATGTCCTTCCCTTGCCATTCAAATGTGTTTTTCCTGGATTTCTAGAATGACGTGTCGGAGAGGGAGCAGCGCTGGGGGGCCAAGACGGTGGAGGGCTCGGGACATCAGGAGTCCATAGAGTGAGAAAGACAATCATTTTTCTCTTAGCATTGAATTTAGGCTCTGTATTTGATTTAAAGTACATTAACCTGTTAAGCCGCAACTTCTTGCAAGAAACAGCGTCTGAGGGCTTCTTAACATTGAACAAACTATGAATGTGTCATACCCACTTAACGGGAAGAAAGTCAGCTACCTGCCGATATTAACCATTTTACCGAAACAAAACACAAGTCTAACGCCGAGCCTCTGAATTAGCACTAAGCGAAAAAATGCTAACGCACTTATCACAAAACTCGCGGTATAAATATGATGTACTTCATCGGTTCTGCACAAACAAGATATCATATGAAAGCTGAGATTCCACAGATTCCAATGGTATACGTTTCATCACTGAGCGACCAAAACTCGCGGCAGCGAAAGCAAGCAAAAACAACACACAACTTCAATCCATGAATGGGGTGCTTGAATTTTGACTTGAGCCGTCCCTTATAGATACTGTCTTTTTACGTTGGTGAGCCGGATAATTTGGCTCGGCTCTCTTAATGCGCCGGCTGTTTCAGCTCCCAAACGGCTCTTCATGTTACCACAGTTTACCACGGAGCCTCAAACTCACGGTACGATAATATCGCGATTAAAAAGTCCACGGTACGATATTTATCGCGATATTGAAAAAAAGTTTTAAAAAAAAATTTGTACTTGAATTTTTTTTTCTTTATTAAATAATAAATCTGATTTGTACAGCATTTTAGTAGGATAGTAGTATTTTAAAGTGTCAACAATATAATAATCAGACCCGGCAATAGAATAAATCAAGTTTCACTTTAGTTTTTCAAGTAACTCAACTCTAACTCACTCACTCACTCACTCACTCACTCACTCACTCACTCAGCGTCATCAAGGTTATCTTTTAGGAATATGAGCATGTCCACATTTCCAGGTAGAAGCTGGGATGTTTGGGCGTTTGCAATATCCCCTGCTGTGGAGAAAACTCTCTTGCTTGGTACTGATGTTGCTGGGACAGAGAGATATGCTTTGGCCATGGGTGACAGCAGTGGGTCAAACTGTGCATTGTCTCTCCACCACTTCAAAAACAATACAGTTGTTGCCAAGAAGGTGAGGCTTATTGACAGGGCAAGATATACATATACTGTTGGTATCAATGTCTCTAGGTGTGTAAACGTAGGCCTGTAAATACGATGTCCTTTTGTGTTATCTGTTGTTTTATGTTCATGTTGTAACCTACTTGCTGCCATGTTGGACAGTCTCCCTTGAAAAAGAGATCGATGATCTCAATGGGACCATCTGGTTAAATAAAGGTTTTAAAATGTTTTTTATTTAAAATAAAAATAAAATAATTTAAAAAAAATCACGGTAGATTTTGTCAGTCTCACGACGGTATTGAGACATTTATTTATCGCGATATTCGATATATTGTTACATCCCTAGTATATACATATGGATAAGAATAGCTAGATATTACAGTATGAACATGACAGGTATGGTACAGTGTGTAAAACGATATGGATCACAATATATCACAACATTTAAAGGCATGGTGTTGCAGAATCAGTCCTTGCATGAAGCAGAAACAACCAATAAAACACTCAATAATAATAATAATGACTTTATTTAGTATAGCACCATTCACAGAAATACAATTCATAGTGCAATAAGAGTCTATATACAAGTAATTGGAATATAATATATTCGATAAATAACTTGTAAGTTGAAACAGATCGATGTTATGGATGTTCTTTCAAAAGTTCAGGTGTTGAACAGTCTTTTGGCCTGTGGGATGAAACATGTGAATCATCTAAATGTGTCTCCTAACTTGTTTCCTCCTTGGTTTAGTATCAACCGCCTGCGTGAGGCGGTGTCCACGGAGCACAGCTCTCTGAGGAAGAAGGAGCAGGACACCGAGCCCAAAGCATCCGACGGATACGGGGGGAAGTTCGGAGTTCAGCAAGACCGCATGGACAAGGTGAGAGGGAGTCAAAGACAGGACTGTAATGGTTGCTGATCTACAGTATTGGGGAAGAAAGATACTTTATGTTACAAGTTTAAATATTAATACGATACGATAATACTTTAATGGTCAGATCAAGTCTGAAATGTGACTTGCATCCCAGCAGCTCCATGTGTAACATCAACACAGACAAACATCAAGACACAATACATGACAAACAAACAACACACATTTAACATAACAGCACGATCACTGAGAGAAAACATGCTCAAAGAGCCTTCAGCGTGCATTTGATCTGGATTCAGCTCTGTGTTTACTGTGAGGATTGACTGGAGCACAAAGGATGCTTCTAAGGATGCTTCAGTCTGACTTTATTGAATCTCCCATTAGATAGTAGCAGTTCATATTCTCTGTTCAGAACATGGTTTGGGTCCGAGATGATGTTGTTGGACAGCCTCACGAGGTTATTATGATAAATTCATCTCACAAGTCTCCTATTATACAAAATCCTCTTCTTCATGTCTCTTCTACATCAACATGTGTCCCCTCTTCTCCATGTCTCTTCTACATCAACATGTGTCCCCTCTTCTTCATGTCTCTTCTACATCAACATGTGTCCCCTCTTCTTCATGTCTCTTCTACATCAACATGTGTCCCCTCTTCTTCATGTCTTTTCTACATCAACATGTGTCCCCTCTTCTCCATGTCTCTTCTACATCAACATGTGTCCCCTCTTCTTCATGTCTCTTCTACATCAACATGTGTCCCCTCTTCTTCATGTCTTTTCTACATCAACATGTGTCCCCTCTTCTTCATGTCTCTTCTACATCAACATGTGTCCCCTCTTCTTCATGTCTCTTCTACATCAACATGTGTCCCCTCTTCATGTCTCTCACATCACAGGTCTCTTCTACATCAACATGTGTCCCCTCTTCTTCATGTCTCTTCTACATCAACATGTGTCCCCTCTTCTTCATGTCTTTTCTACATCAACATGTGTCCCCTCTTCTCCATGTCTCTTCTACATCAACATGTGTCCCCTCTTCTTCATGTCTCTTCTACATCACCATGTGTCCCCTCTTCTTCATGTCTTTTCTACATCAACATGTGTCCCCTCTTCTTCATGTCTCTTCTACATCAACATGTGTCCCCTCTTCTTCATGTCTCTTCTACATCAACATGTGTCCCCTCTTCTTCATGTCTCTTCTACATCACATGTGTCCCCTCTTCTTCATGTCTTTTCTACATCAACATGTGTCCCCACTTCTTCATGTCTCTTCTACATCAACATGTGTCCCCTCTTCTTCATGTCTCTTCTACATCAACATCAACATGTGTCCCCTCTTCTTCATGTCTTTTCTACATCAACATGTGTCCCCTCTTCTTCATGTCTCTTCTACATCAACATGTGTCCCCTCTTCTTCACGTCTCTTCTACATCAACATGTGTCCCCTCTTCTTCATGTCTCTTCTACATCAACATGTGTCCCCTCTTCTTCATGTCTCTTCTACATCAACATGTGTCCCCTCTTCTTCATGTCTCTTCTACATCAACATGTGTCCCCTCTTCTTCATGTCTCTTCTACATCAACATCAACATGTGTCCCCTCTTCTTCATGTCTTTTCTACATCAACATGTGTCCCCTCTTCTTCATGTCTCTTCTACATCAACATGTGTCCCCTCTTCTTCACGTCTCTTCTACATCAACATGTGTCCCCTCTTCTTCATGTCTCTTCTACATCAACATGTGTCCCCTCTTCTTCATGTCTCTTCTACATCAACATGTGTCCCCTCTTCTTCATGTCTCTTCTACATCAACATGTGTCCCCTCTTCTTCATGTCTCTTCTACATCAACATGTGTCCCCTCTGTGGAAAGAGACTCTGAAAGTTTCAGGAACAAAGATTCTCTCTCTTTTTGATCCATTTCTATAAAAACCTGTTTGAAAATGAGCTGATCAGATTTTGGCCACTTTATGATGTCATAACGATGTTTTGTCTTGTGTAACCATTAGCCAATCAGCAACCAAGGTAACCCCCCCCCCCCCCCTTATCACCTGAATCTCCTCCTAGAGCTCCATTGAGTTCTTTGTAACCAGATCTCTCTCAGAGGGGCGTGGGGAGGGGCTCCTTATTTTCATCTAAAGTAACAGACAGAGAATCAGCACTTTGGAAACAGGGCTGAAACAGAGGGGATTATGGGTAATGCTGCAATGATCTGTTTGGTGTTTGGAGCCAAACACTTCAGAGACATGTTCTGTATATATCTGAGACCTTTAATATGAAAAACAGTGTGATTGGGGACCTTTAATACTCTCGGTGTGTGTGTGAACAGGCTGAGTGTGTGTTGGCTGTTTCCACTCGTTAATCTCTGTGCCGTGGTCACTGCAGCTTGAATGTGATGACCGTGCGCTGTTTACTCCACACACTGTTAGTCTGTGATGAGTCAGGTGTCACCACTTCCTTAGTTTCCAGCTCCACTGCTCTTTCCCTGACCCCCCCCCCCCCCTCCTCCAGTGTCCCCTCGCTCACTGCCCTCCTTATGTGTTGAAATGGTGTTTTTCTTCTCAGTCCGCTGTGGGTCATGACTACCAGAGCAAGCTGTCCAAGCACTGCTCCCAGACGGACACTTCTAAAGGCTTCGGAGGGAAGTTCGGAGTCCAGGCGGACCGTGTCGATCAGGTACTTCAGTTAGAAAGCCTTTATTTCATGGCAGTTTACAGACGAACAGATTCCAGATTCAAGGCTTTTATTGTCATTCGAACATAGCTACATTGTAGTTATGTCGATGCAAATCTTAGGTCACAGGCTCCTCCAACAGAGCAACACAATAAAACAGATACAACAGTGCAAGACAAGACAATAGAATAGAAGTAGTGCCATAAGAGTCTCTATACAAGTGATAAAAGCACACAACGAAAAGCAAACAAACACTGAAATAAAGCGAACAAAGTTGCAAAAGACCCGGCAGCCATCATCACCGGCGCCGTTACATTTTTATATTAAATATGGAGGCAAGCACATGTTAATATAATAAAACTCAGATACATCCATGGTGAAAATATCAGATTTATCAGAGTAAGTGAACATATAAATGCATTGAGCAGTACTTGCTAATCGTTCTGGGACTTGAACCGGCGACCCTACAGTTCCCAAACTAAGTCCCTTTGAGCTACTGCTGCTTCTAATGTGGCTGATGAAGCAGCTGCTGGACCTGATTGCCTCTTAAAGCTTTCCAAATGTCGTTTTTTACATAGAAACTGTCTATTTAGCTTGTCCGTAGACTTGCCTGTGAGTGAATAGACGTGCATGTCTACTTGTATGGCAAAGTAGACATACTTTGCCATACAAGTAGACATACGGGGGGGGGGGGCTGGTATTGGGATATATGTTCTTTAAATCCTCTGGAGCAGAAAGAGGAGCTGTGGATTATTGTTATTGATTAATGCATCAGTGTTTCTTTGGGTCAAAAACTTAAAATGATAGCGTTTAGTTTATTTAATAAAAGAGCACATGTTCAATGTGAAATATAGATTAGTTGCAATTTAGTGCTATATATATATATGTATATATATATATATATATATACACACAAAAACAAACTCCTTTTAAAACACCCTGAGTGTCAGGGGGGGCGCGGGGCTCCGTTGGACAATGGTAGGGGAAACACTGATATATATAATCATATGTGTACGTTATGAAAAAAGCTTCTATGCAGTCCTAGTAAAAGATGTCCAAAGCCAACATTTAGGTTCAAAGAGCTTGTCACTGTTGTGTTAAGCAACAACTACAACTAGGTATGCAAGGGACATAAAGACTGTTTATCTCTCAGTGTCACATTGTATATCTAACGCTTCTGAGTTTAACTGCAGTGGAGCGTGACGAGGGGTAAACCGTCAGTAAGTTCATATTAATAACTGAGTGTCTTCTCCCTCTCTCTTTGCAGTCAGCTGTTGGGTTTGAGTACAGTGGGAAGACGGAGAAACACGCGTCTCAGAAAGGTAAGGGTTGTCTTTGTGCACGTCTTCTTCCGCCTCAGATCACCTGAAGTGTAGAACTCACTTCCACTTCATTTCATCTGTTTATTTGTATTATCCATTTAGGTTTAGCTAACAGCGATAGATTTCTAAATCGCCTGCAGGAGACTTTTTCCAGTTTGATGAGCGATTGGCTGTCGCTCAGCCAGGACGCTCCTGTACAGACAGATTTATGTATGGTGTTGATTTGTCTTTGTTTCCTGCCATATTATACGTTGAAGTGTAGTTTGTAATTGTTATGACGGTAGCACACGCATTGTGTTGCTCTATACTTCAGCGCAAGACGATTGAGTTGCTAACTTTCAGCTTTGGAGGTATTTTAGTGTGGTAAAGGAATACTTCACCCACACAAATAACACAATGGCGATACCTTGAATTATTTCTATGTCTTTCAAGACTTCTCAGGGAAAAAAAGATTATGGGAGAAGTATTTATTTAACGTCCCTGTAACCTTGAATGTGCTGGAAGAGAGCCAAACAAAACAACTCGTATTACGTCCACACTGCGAGTGTACAGTGTGAACCGTGGCTTCTTTGCGTTTGAGTATCTCTAAAGCTGCTTTCCCCGTTCTGTCATCACCTGTGTGTTGCCTTCATCACCTGCGCACAGTTGAGGATCATTTGCCCAGTTCCAACGTTTCCTCAGTGCTGTCTCAGTTTAACGGCAGTGCAGATATGCTTCTTCTGGACTTAAAAACAGCACCACATGATCGTGATAATGACAGCAACGAATGTTTGGCAAACAGTTCAAAATGCAACAATGATCCCAAGACAGAATGGAGATACGGGACACCGTGATAAGCGATCTGAAGCTGAGAAGAGAGACACTAAACAGAAAGTATTTCAAATGTATCTTACTAGCACATCTAGGTTTGAAGAGAGTGTTTTGTTTGTTAAACAGCAACATTTATTTCATCAGTCTAAACATTGGTTTGAACTAGGTAAGATAGAATAAACATGCATGTATGACAAAGGGAGAATAATGGAATAAATTAAATGAGTTTTCAGAGTGGAGTCACTTGTTCACATCTGGTGCCTTGAGCTCTTTTTAGTATTTAGCACACATGAGCTAATACAGTGGAAACCGCTTAGTGTTCACGTCTGGATCAAATCGATCCCGTCTGATTATTTAAATTCGTTTGGATAACATATCGTGCAGATTACCATCTTTTTCGTTTATTTATTACATGATAAGAAGTTAATGGAACAGACTACTTTGGTATTTACTGCTAATTCTTGTGCCCGCTCTTTCGCTAAGGGCTCTCTTAAAGGGGGGGTAGGTAATCCACTTCAGAAACACTTGTTATATTCCATGGAATGCTCTTAACATCCTGATAGCAATGAATATATTAAATGCTTTGACAATAAATACATTAAAAAATGTCATCAGTGGAAGCCGTGGCGCTGTAAAAAGCACGACCAATCATCTGAGCCGGCTAAAGTAACTGGATGGCCTACCTGCCTGTCAGCCTTCCATCTGTGCACACACTTATCTCGTGCCCTCATTGGTCATGTGCGCGTTCCTGTGTGTTGGAGGAGGGGCTCTGTGAGGAAGTCTGAAGGAAGGGGTAGATTTGTTCCGGCGGTGTATTTTCAAATTCTAGCCACTCGAGCTGGTTTCTCCATCCTTACCTACCTTTAAATTGAGACACACAAAGATGTCTGTAATGTTAACGAGGAGTTTGGAATTGGGCCGCTGCTTCGTGACCACTGCTTCATGCTGCTTCCCCCTGACCTTTGACCCCCTCCCCTGCTTTGCTGTGTAGACCACTCCGTGGGGTTTGGGGGGCGATACGGCGTGCAGTCGGACCGCGTGGACCAGAGCGCCATGGGCTTCGATTACCAGGGGAAAACCGACAAACACGATTCCCAGAAAGGTTTGTCCTATTAACACCGGAGAGACGTGGCCTGATGGACACACACACACACACACACACACACACACACACACACACACACACACACACACACACACACCTCAAAAAGTGAGCTCCATGCAGATCCTGATAAATGTTGTTTTGCATTTCTCCCTCCTCCTTCAGTCCTCAGCCTCTGCTTGCTTATAAAATGTTGCAAACCATGACTTAGGTTATTACTATGTTTTCTCTCAGTTGCATTTGTGATGTGTTTTTTCCTCCAGCGTAAAAACATTGTTATAATTATGGCTGCACAAATATTTAAAATGTATCACAATAAATTCAATATCCAAATGTCCTTAAGCACAATATCTAGTAAAGGCAAAATGTGTGAAAATATCTGGATGAATGATCTCGGAGCTGTAGTCCTGACTTCCCAAATGTATTTTACAGATTTAAGAAAACAGACTTTTTAGGTGTCTTTAAATGTATTTATATATATATTTTTTTATGATAATGTGAATAGTTTTTCCAGGAAATTATCATTCTATCTAATATCTCAAATCATATCGCAGTTGCAGTGTCATTCAAGTTAATCACAATAAGTTATTCAAATTGTGCAGCCCTACTTATAATAGTGTTTGTAAGATGTGGGACACGGGTCTTTAAGAACATGGGAGACCTTTTGTACTTATTACCATATTTGAACGTGTTCCTCCCTTATCATCTCAGATTTCAGGTGCTTGGCAAAGACTTGGAAGTGCCCATGGGATATTTTTATTTAGTTTACTGTTCCCCTTAAACATGCTGTTTGTCACCCTTAAAGGTGGGGTAGGTAATTCTGGAGAAACCAGCTCGAGTGGCTAGAATTTGAAAATACACAACCGGAAAAAATCTGCCACTTCCTTACAGAGCCCCTCCTCCAACACACACGAATGCGCACATGACCAATGAGGGCACGAGATAAGTTTGTGCACAGATGGAAGGCTGACAGGCAGGTAGGCCATCCAGTTATTTTAGCCGGGCCGGCTCAAATGATTGGTCGTGCTTTTTACAGCGCCACGGCTTCCACAAAGCACTTCAGATATTCATTGATATCGGGATGTTAAGAGCATTCCATGGAATATAACAAAAAGTGTATCTCGAGCCGGTTTCTCAAACGTACCTACCCCACCTTTAAGCTTTTCTTCCACCTAACGTATTTGTTCTCTTTCCAAAACGGCAGATATACAATTGTGAAATATGCTCATATGGTTTTTTTCATATCAAATTGGGCTCTCTTGTGGTGAATGTAAAAATGCGCACTTTTACAGAAGGGAAGTGTTGCCATGATAGATAGATAAACAGGACATAATGAAAAGTATTATTGATCAACCTCATTTTATGTCGACAGTGCAGTTGCACAGGGAGAGAAACATTTGTTGGTGCTCCTCCCCTTCCTTTATTAACTTGTGATGTTTCTCCCCCCCTCTCCTCTTCAGATTATTCTAAAGGCTTTGGAGGAAAGTTCGGAGTTGAGACCGACAAAGTGGACAAGAGCGCTATGGGCTTTGAGTACCAGGGAAAAACTGAGAAGCACGAGTCCCAGACAGGTTTGTCCCAAGAACCCGGAGAAAAGTGGTGCAGGATTGACTCCGGTTCCCTTGTGTTGTAGGCAATGGATGTTTGAATGTGTTGGCAGTCTTTTCGGAAATACGTCAGCATTTCTTTAATAAAAATCTTTGAATAAGTTCCTCCCTCCTAGTTTTAGATTCCAGACTCTGGGTGTTTCTCAATGTTGAGGACGCTTCCTTGGTAGGACATGTCCTTCCGAGTCAGTTCTTTCAGAAGCCAGGCAAGAACCCTACTTTCATTCGGAGAACGAATAATGGGACAGGCTAGCAAGTGTGCGTCATATGAGAGGCCCCCGCCTTACATTTTCCTTCAAAGATTTGGGGAAATTGGTCCGTGCGCAAAGCATTGAAGGGGTTTTAAGACCGCGGAGGAGACACTGGGTGTTTCTCAATGTCGAGGAAAGCTGCTCCAGAGCCACTATTTCAAGGATGCTACGTCATCGAGTGCCGCCGAAGGACTGTTCCAATGTCCAGGATGCTTGGAATTCTACCGAGGCCGGCGTACTTTGTTGCGGGAAATTTCGAGGCTGCACATGTGTATCCTCCGGTCTTAAAATCCCCACAATGCTTTGCGCACGGACCAATTTCCCAAATCTTTGGCGGAAATTGCGCTCCATTTAAGGCGGGGCCTCGCATATGACGCACACCTGTTAGCCTGTTCCACCATTCTTCGTTTTCCGAGGCTAGGAAGGATTCTTGCCTCGCTTCTGAAGGACCTGACTCGGAGGGACATGTCCTACCAAGGAAGCGTCCTCGACATTGAGAAACACCCACTGGTGCATCCTCGAAATTTCCCGCAATGAAGGATTCAGTCCTCGGTAGAATTCCAAGCATCCTGGACATTGGAACAGTCCTTCGGCAGGATTCGATGACGTAGCATCCTTGAAATAGTGGCTCTGGAGCATCCTTCCTCGACATTGAGAAACACCCCATATGTGTGATGGGTACACACTGCTCCTCTTCCTGTGCACACTTTAAATGTTTCCTCTCCTCTTCAGATTACACTAAAGGCTTTGGAGGAAAGTTCGGTGTTGAGACCGACAAAGTGGACAAGAGCGCGATGGGCTTTGAGTACCAGGGAAAAACTGAGAAGCACGAGTCCCAGACAGGTTGGTGCGCACAGGAACAAACTGCTCCTTCATTCAATGATAAACAGCATGTGATTTATACCCACTGAGAACAAACTGATTACTGACGGTTTCATGTCTAATGACTTCAGTTGCCGTGACAGTGGGGGAAAAGCACTTTGGATTGTTTTCCTTTCCACTGGTTATATATATTTGATCCTTCCCTACTGAGTGAAAACCAAAACAAATGGTGCTCAACATGTTAGTTGCAGTTTGATTTCAGAATCAGGATACCTTTATTCGTCCCTCAGAGGGGGCATGCGCGTTACGGCAGAAAAGAGACAGCTTAATGTTAAGCATGCATACAGAAGTAATAAAGATTAAAAAAAAGTTATAATCAAAAAAGTTACACTATTTACAGAATACACATCCTGTAACAGTTCTGAGGATTTAGCAGCCAGGTATATATTGCATATATATATATATATTGCACATATTGCACATAGTTGGTATTTAACATTTGATCCCTGAACTGATTGTTTGAGTCCAGAGGGTCTGAATGAGTCCTGACTTGTCTGAACTCCTCGTTGCTTTACCTGCAGCTTCTTGTCCGACACACCTGTTCAACCTTTACTGCAGCTCTTAGATACGGGCTGCTGTCAAAAGCAGTTGACTTCAAACATTCCCCACAATGCACCGGGCTGTGTTTGCCTCCTAGATTTGCATATGTGATAACCGGGTCACGTGCTCTGATAACAGGCCTGCTAGTGTTGTGTCAAAGTTGCAATACTGCACACATGAATTGTGGGTTGTTTCTAAATATGCACATCATGCACTCGCGTCAGCACAACATGAATTGATTGAAGTGAAGCTTTCGACATGAGTTGCAACTTTGAGTCTTTCTAGTTTGGAGATAATTCCTTTAAAAAACAGATGGGGCGTTGCATTGTGTCTCTTTGTCTGCCTGTAGACTATGTGAAGGGCTTTGGAGGGAAGTTTGGTGTGCAGACGGACAGACAGGACAAGTCTGCGCTGGGATGGGACCACCAGGAGAAACTACAGCAGCACGAGTCCCAGAAAGGTAAAAACAAATCAGAAATGTGAAAGGAATGGCAAGTGGATGTTAGAAGTATCAGATTACAGACAGTAGAGAAACAGTGTTTTCAGACTGTTTGGCTGCACGATAACCTATTTTAGTTTCAACTTTGCACCGTGGGCAGGACGTGGTCTACTGAGGTGAATTAACTCAAACATGTCATGCTACAACTTTTTAGCTTGATACCAAAGGAAAACGTTATCCGTGACTAACGGCCCGTCCACACTACAGCTTCGACAGCTTCAAAAACGGTTTCCAACGCGTCTGCCCATTCACTTTGAATGGGGTGACGTCACTTTTCGCCGAACTGCATTGTGGGAAGCAGAGCGGAGCTTTCCTGGCGTTTCAGGCTGCAAAAGTTGAGCAATGTTCAACTTTTGAAGCTTCTGAAGCTTTTGGTGGAAGCGTCAGCCAATCAAATCATATGCCAGTACAAGCTCTAGCCAATCAAACCGCTGCTTGTGTGTCAGGGGCGGGAGATTCATGTGATTGGTTGTTGGTCGAGCTTCAGACACGCCCAGCTCCAAGCTTTTTTTGAAGCTGTAGTGTGGACGGGCCGTAACTCCACAAGACAGGTCTGATAGATGATCATTAACTTATTTCTCAGCTGTTATTTTACAAATGTGCTGCTAATGAGACATTTAAACCACTACCAATCTCAGTTATCCTTCATCAGTCAATCACAAATCCAAAGCAGGCTCCTGTAATAAAGCCAGAAACTGGGCGTGGAACAGGAAATAAACATATCAGTCGAACAAAAACGGTTTTGGCTACAGAAAAACCAACAACACACACTTTGTCTTCATCCGTTTAAAAGTCCTTTAGGTTTTTTCTATACATTTCACAAAAGACCAGCGATGTCATTTTAAAAATGTCGTTCAGACTTACTGCTCTGCACATCCTAATATTTTGTTGTTGAACAGCTGTTTTCTACATTTCTCCATTTAAACTGTTTCACATCAAACCCTCATCTGACTTTTGCTAGAACGTTGAACGAGGATCTTAAATGTGTTCTGCTTTCAGTGTAGCTACTCTCTGTGAAACCTGTGTTCCTCCTCGGCTCTGATGTGGTTTATATTGTGGTTTCGGATGTGGTCTTTCAAAAGTTCACTTCCTCAATCTGCTGTTAAAACAAAGCTCTGATGGAGGAAGTGAAACCGCAGCTCAGATTTATATTTGAATGTTAGCTGAAGCTTTCATTCAGACCAATTTATAACAAGTGGAATCCCATCATGTTACTGTGCTGACCTACTAACATCACAATGATCCACTTACTGCCATTTTCTTAATGTCTTTCGTCTTTTGTAAAGCACTTTGAATTGCCTTGTGTTGAAAGGTGCTATATAAATAAACTCGCCTTTCATTATAACAAATGTAAGGGATAATGTGCAGCGACCCCATAAGGACCAAGTCGCTGCATATGATCCCGACATGACTCCCAATACTAATTGAAATGCTTTTATGGATTTAAAAAATAGTTGTATTGATTTAAATTGACATGCATCCGCTAAGAAAAATAGTCCGTTGTTACACGTAGCAACCATAGGGTAGCAACGGCAGGAAGGCGGAGCTTTTTGATTACAGATTTGAAAACATCGTTGGTTGCTTTAAAAGTAGCACAATTCATTATGTCAAACCTCGGGAAGTATCTAGATATCCCTGCCCTAATGCCAAAGGAACTGCACACTGAATATGTGTCGCCGTTCGATGTCGATGTCTGGACCGCTGCGTAAAAAGGAGGGTTTCTGCCCCGTTACTTCTCCGCTGTTTTCTTGTTCCAGTTCGAAAAGCAAACTGTATACAGTTCAATCGACCGGACTTCTTTCTGCAGATGTGAGCGTCCTTAACAACGGTCAATAAGTCCTTGACAGCGGTCTGTCTGTTCTGGATTAACAACGTGTCACGTGTTCTGAATTGACCAATCAGAATCAAGTATTCAACTAAGCCATGTAATCAAATCTGATAGTCATGGCCACAGGATGCTACAATCCCCTCACAACCTATTGTCTCCGTGTTCATCCTTTTGTTCAGAGTAGTGACAAAAGGAGATAAAAAGACGGGGCAGGAATGAGTTCCTTCAACACCTTTTTTTGTGTATTTGAATACAATTCTGTTATTAAACGTACGTGTGAATGCTTGCGTGCACCTGTAAATATAGTATATCTATCTATTTATTTATTATTATGTATCCAACTGTAACTACTTCCAATGTTTAGTATATCCCCCAAAAACAAAGCATACAAAGGTTTTTTTATTTTTTATCCATAACTCACTTGATCCAATAAACGACTTTAGATAAATTCAGGATTATTTGTTAGGATGATGGCCTCAAACATAAAGAAACTTATGGAAAACAAAGTAATCCCAAGACTAAATATAGTACAATTGTTATTAAAAACTCAATGTTTAGCTTAAAGTCTTTGAACATTTCTTCAGATTTGTTAATAATGTATTCATCACGTGAAGAATGATGCTCTTCCCTCTGGTTCTTGTCTTGTAGAACCAGAACAACTTCATGTCACTGAAAAGCCTGTCTAGTGTATCATCAGGCTGTATCTCGTTAACATCATGTCCCTATACAGGGGGTCCGCGGGGTCTTAAAAAGTATTAAAAGTTGATAAATCAATTTAGCGAAAATGAAGGCTATTAAACGGCATTTTCCAAGGCATTACATTTTGTAGCTTGTTTTCAATAAGTATATAAATTGTCCAAAGAGGTTGTGTTCTACAGTCTGCCTGAATGTAATCATGGCGTAGGTGTGTAGTGTGATTCTGTGTAGTTTATTGATGGCATCCCGTTGGGTTTGACGTCATCTGAACAGGACATCGCACGCTCACTGCTTGATAGCACGAAGGTCCGTTTACGCCGGTTGTTAAACAACATCGTTATGGGGAAATGCAAGTCTGCGTCCAAATGGTTGGAAGATCAGGAGGAAGGACAATCAATACTGTATATAGTCAATGTGAGGTAAAGTGTGTCGCCAAGGTAACCGGTTAGAACTCCAAGTGGCGATGAGGTCTTAAAATGTATGGAAAGGGTCTTAAAAAAGGTCTTAAAATGTCTTACATGTGACTTCAGGATTCCTGCATATACCCTGATCATTGTCTTTATATGTTTGTCTGTCTGTTTATATATATGTGTGTGTGTGTGTATATATATGTGTGTGTGTGTTGTGTTGCAGACTATAAGCGTGGGTTTGGAGGGCAGTATGGGGTAGAGAAGGAGAAGCAGGACCAGTGTGCTCTGGGCTATGAACACAAGGAGAGCTTGGCTAAGCACGAGTCCCAGAAAGGCACAGAAACACCCCCAAATCCCCCACCTCGAAACCCCTCCTTATTATTTACCCTGCATCCTTTTCCAGAAACACTCCTCCAGCTTGTTGCTCCTTCTTTGGCATCGTCACCTCGCCTTCCTTTCCCCACAGACTCACCACTGTCCTATCGAGATGAACAGGGCAGATTACTAAAATCACGCTAAAACGTTTCCATAGGCAACGCTACTTTCTACACATCCTGCAAAACTAGCAGACAAGTTATTTATATAAATAGTAATTAATTAATGTGATCTAATGTAAAAGGGCAAATATTAACCATATATGCTGTTTATATTGCTTTTAATTGAGATGAAGTAAACATCTGTTGAGTATTTTAACACAAGCTAGTTTGATTGTGTCGGCCGTGGTGTTTTACCTTCAACACGGCCTGTTGGACCCTGCTCTGTAGTCAATACCAGAGTCTCT